ACTCAGTAGTTGCATAAGGCAACGCCAGGGCTGATATTCTTATTAATTTTGGGTCTGCACCCCATGCACTTACAGTGAGTTTCCGCAGGATGTTATTGCGTGCAGCTACGTTGTGCTTAGTGTTTCCTATATCTTAGTGCTCAATTTAAGGTAACACCAAGACGCAGTGATAAAACAAGTCTGACCATTATTATGTATGGTTAAAGAGATAAAAACATTAATTATTTTAGTTACCCAGCCATTAGTAAGGCCAAAAAGACGTTACAGGACTAAAACTTGCATAAAGGCACTAATTTCATAGAATGATAGAAGCAAAAGGTTAGAAAACATTACAAGGGCCATCCCCTGCCATGAAGGAATACCCAACCAAAGGATTTGATCCAAGAGTTTGTGGAGAACTAAAAAGGAAGTTTCTGACCCTCCTCCCCACATATACCACTGCTTCGTAATACATCAAAGAAAAGGAACAAAAATTGCAAAACATTCACACAAGAGACTTCACTGAAAGTTAAAGCAATGTACCAAACAGCATCCCATTCTACAAAAGTAATCTAAAGCTAAAAAAAATAAACAAATATTTTCAAAGGAATTTCCTCAACAGAATGATCACCAACATAAAAACCAAGCTATTTTATTTTATTTTACATCGTAATTTGTATAGCCACAGAAAACTAGGAGCAGACTCTGAGCCTATGGAACTCCCTCCCCAGCAAAAGCAGGTCAGTCCCCTCCCTCTTGACCTTCTGAAAGCAAGGACAAACATGGCTCTGGTACCGAGCCTTTGGCCAATATCTCAGTGAAATAAGTAAAAATGGAAATTGTGCAATAACGATTAGAATGGTTTTTTGACTATGATTCCGGATTGTGTGGTTTTAAAAATATGTTTTAATGTTAATATCATTTAATATTTATAAGGTCCATGGTGGTACAGTGGTTTAAACCTCTGAGCTGCTGAACTTGCTGTCAGAAGGTCAGCAGTTCAAATCCACAGACGAGGTGAGCTCCCACTGTTAGCCCCAGCTTCTGCCAACCTAGCAGTTTGAAAACATGCAAATGTGAGTAGATCAATAGGTACCACTTCTGACGAAGGTAAGGGCACTCTGTGCAGTCATGCTTGCCACATGACCTAGGAGGTGTCTACGGACAACGTCTGCTCTTTGGCTTAGAAATGGAGATGAGCACCAACCCCCAGAGTCGGATACGACTAGACTTAACATCAAAGAGAAACCTTTACCTTTAATTTTAATGGTTATATTATTTTTAATTTATGTTTTAATGTATATGTTTACTTGCATTTGTTTATTGATATGGAATTGAATTGTTATAACTGAAATAATTGACTTGCACTATGTCATCCCTTTGGCAATATCAAAAATATAGTACTGCATGAGCCAGGGAGCTCAAATTCCTCTCCTTTCTAAAGACTGCAAGACTCCAAAATAGTTCAATTATAAAATGACTGCCAGGTTTAACTGAAACAACAAGATCAAATATTTTGTCCTTAACCAGTGTTTTAAGGACATTAAGATTAAGAAATATACTGCTTTAAAAGATATAAATAATAGCTCATAATATATTCAATATGAAGGACCACATGGGAAATAGCAGCTTTTCACCTCATGTAGCTGGTGATTAAATTGCTGACATGAAATAACTCCATGTTTAGATCGCTGAGAAGATCAGTCTTTGACCTTTTGTTGGCCTGTTTTAAATCACGAGAAGATTAAAACAGAATCCTTGCACCATGCGGTCAATGGCTGGAGAAAGTCCAAAGGTACTTTTCAGCAAAAGAAACTGCTGCCCAGCTACAGGCTGCTATAGAGGCCAGACAGGAAAAGGATATGTTCAATATTTCCCCTCCACAAAATACCCATAAACAACCCAACTTCCTGAAGGATTAATTGCTTAAGTGTCAATCAAGGACAGGAAAAGCTGTGATCAGGAATATCTCCTTCCACTGCAGTGCAGAAACTTGAACGTTTTGCTGTTATTCACATTTCAAGGAAGTGTCACAACTTTTGAAATTCGAAGAATTGCTTCCTGATACATAAATGGGGGCAAAGCCATTCTGTATGTGCACCCCTTGAAAAGACATCTCAGTAGACAGAATTAAATGAAAGGAAAAAGTTGGGGATAGCCAATAACAATTTGAATGATTTTTTTTATTATGTCAGAAGCGATTTGAGAAACTGCAAATTGCTTCTGGTGTGAGAGAATTGGTCATCTGCAGAGACTCTGCCCAGGAGATGTCCGGATGTTTTACCATCCTGTGGGAGGCTTCTCTCATGTCTCCACATGGGAAGCTGATAGACAGGAGCTTACTCCGTTTCGTGAATTTGAACCACTGACCTTCAGGTCAGCAGTTTAGCTGGCACAAGAATTTAACCCATTACGCCACCACAGCTCCTATTTGAATGAATGTTGTGGAGCAAAGCAATTTAGCTACAAAACTATCAATTGGTTGTTATAGGTTTTTTTGGGCTATGTAGCCAAGTTCTAGAGGACATGGTCATATAGCCTGAAAAAACCTACAACAACCCAGTGATTCTAGCCATGAAAGCTTTCGACAATACAAGGCTATCAGTTATGCTGGCAGGAAGATTATGGGAGTTACAACTGTAAAAAGTAGTGTCTCCTCACTTTTTTTTGCTGTATCAAGGAAGTTTTTTATATTTAGGGTGAATGCATAAATATATTTAAAATGTTAATCCACAATTTTTAGAATACCCCAAAGTGACTTACAGAGAAAAAAAGAATAGAAAATAGTACTGGAATATGTTAGCATTATTCCATAGCACACAACATTTGAATGAACTTTGCTCTTTAGTCATGAACAACCAGTAGCCACAGAGGGTGCGTCCTTATAGCATTACTCACCAAACTGACAGAATGGGAATTATGCCTGTACTTCTTGATGCAGATTATAAAACACATTCTGACCTTACTATACGCTTGACATCCAGAGGGATAAGAGAATAATATCTTACAATACAAATGGTACTCAATAACATTAGCAAGAATGCATTTTATAATTATTTTTAAGGCTTTTTGTTGTACTATTTACATATAATAAGGTTTTTTTGTCATTAGGAATAAAATTTAAAAGTTCCAACTGACATATATTTGGGTGTTTTGAAATTTTAAATATCTCTGTAACCTTCCCCCTTGAACTATGCAAATAGCATGATTTAAATGCTTTGCATGTCCTTTGTTTTCTGAATACGCATGGTTTTGAACAATAGTCTAGTCATGGCAAATGAGGCTAAATAATAATCTGGGAATCAACATTTACAAATAAACTGTAGTTGTCAGACACAGAAGTTTAGAAACAAGAATGCCACATACTGTATGGATTAGGAGGAGCATTTATATAATTCTCTGAGTACATTCAATATCATAATTCTAGTGCCCTCTAGTGATCTGGCACAACCAACATTTCCACAGAGAAAATAACAGCAAATATTGCATATTTTGAAGGAGAGTGTCCTATAATTCTCCCATATAACCCTTAACAGCCAGCATCTATCTAAAAAAAAAAATCAATCTTCTATGTTCTATATAATAGTTGCATTTTAAGTGCTTAGCACAGTTGTCATGTCTCCTGATTAAGGTTTCAATAAAGCCAGAAAAATCACCGTGCAAGACAGATCAAATTGAAAGCATATCCATTATCATTTCTTTCCTTGCTGAAACACTTGGGAAAGCTAGTTAAGAATAATACATGGGTGGGAACTTATGCATTTTTTGCTTTATATTCGAGAAAACCTTATGATAAGCTCAATGTAGACCATGTCAGAAATGACCTGAAGACACACAACAACAACAACAACAACAACAAAGAACTAAAATCCACAGATCCAGAAATATTTGGAGAAATTACTCTAACACAGTGGTTCCCATCCTGTGGTATGTAGACCACCAGTGATGTGCAAGAACTAAAATATGGTCTGTGGCCTCACCCTTATTACACCGTTGCAATGAGAGTGACTGGTCTTGCGGAACCCTCTTATAGTGCCGTGGCACTATATATATAGAGGCACAAATGGAGGGCAAAAGAGAAAAACGTGCCAAGAGGAAGGGGCATCAAACCAACCCCAACCGGGACCGCCTTCCACCTGGAAACAATGCCCTCACTGTGGGAAAACATGCAGATCAAGAATAGGGCTCCACAGTCACCTGCATACCCACTGCCAGTACACCAATCTTGGAAGACAATCCTACTTGGACAACAAGGGATCGCCTAAGTAATAGTGCCTTGGCTTATTAAATATGGCTTTCTGTGGGAGAGCAGATGGAAACTACTGGATGGCATATTTTCTATATCAGAAACTAGAGAGATTATGTGGCCTATCCAATGCAATTTGCTGAATCAGCACTCTCACATAACCAAATCAAATCTAAAGTTGAAACTGATTCACAACCCTTTCGGTACTAATGTTTGAGAGTAGTCCCTGGTCAAGGTGGTTCCTGGTCAAGTGGTCCCTGGCTTTAAAAAAGGTTGGGAACCACTGTTCTAACAGAAATACACAGAAATTTTTGCATTAAAATATTGGAGTTTTGTGAATGAATCATTTCGCCCCAGAATGCACTCTTTCCAACTGTGGTGGAGGGTAGATGCAAGATTGTTCTTTTGCATCTCAAAAAAGAAACAATCAAACAAAAACGTGTGCATGAAAAAATCACATGCCAACCTGGGAATAATGTTTTTGTGCCAAAACAGATTGATTTTGCACAAAAATCATACTTCTATATTCACAACATTGTTTCCATAAAACTATGTGATTTGTGATATAATTCAGCATTATTGGTTATCTGAACAAAATGGGAAATTACTACATTTGGGAGAGAAAAGCAGCAGCAGCAGTAATGGCAATAACAAAATGAGCAGAGCTTCTACAACTTCCTTTATCAGAATCTTTTCAAGATCATATCTGGCAAATACAGTCATTGAAAAGGAGGTCTAAACGGGAAAGTGCTTTGAAGGTGACAAATCATCTTACCTGAAAGTGCAAAATTATGGTCCATATTAATCCCAAAGTCAATTTGGGATTTCCATCTGTTATGTCATCATTCCTAATGTTCACCAGTTTCACCTGTCATTAATGGAAAAAATATGGAAAAGGATTAAAATAGATGAAGTTGAAAATGCATTCTGATCCTTCACAATCCAAAGATGGGTAACAATGTTGTATTTACAACCTCCATATTCCCTACTTCCTGCTACTTTCAAAATACTTTAGGGAATTTGAACTACATATTATCACTCAGTTGAAATGATAATTTTCTGGAGAACGAAAGATATCTGATGTATTAGGTGATAAGCAAAATCTATCTGGATAGTCTATTCAAGTTGCCATTAATCTGTAACAGGATATGTTCATCTCAATTACATTTTATAGAAATTATACTCTGCATCTGAAACAATTAAGAAATACAAAAAGGTTCATTATATATTCCATGATACAAGAGTTCTTCATTCAAGTAGAAGGATAGCATATAGTGTATATGTTGTGGTATGGCATTTTGTGACAAGACTTATCAACTGAGAAAATTGAGATGTAAAGGATCTATATACTTATCATGACTGAATGTGATTTACGTCAAGGAATTATGTCCTTGGAGCAATTCAATAAGTTAAATAAATCCTACAAATAATGTTCTTGAAAAAAAAACCCACTAAATGTAATAGGATGTACTTTAAACGGCTCAGGCCCAAACTATTTGAAAGACCACATCTGCATATATATAAACCAACACGAGTGCTGCGTTCAGCAGAGGAGGCCCATCTCTCAGTCCCACCTTAGTCTGAAGTGTGGCTGGTAGGAACAAGAGAAAGGGCCTTCTCCGTGTTCACTCCCCAGCTCTGGAACTTCCTCCCGAAAGAGTTTTAAAAGGCCTTATCTTTCCTCTCCTTCAAAAAGCTATTAAAAACACACTTATGCAATTTAGCTTACGGAGAGGAGAAGGATTAAGTACATCTATTTGCACCTTACCTAGCTGCTAGAACCCATCCAGTTAAATTTCTGTTTTCCATCTCTCTCCCCAACAATTTTAGCCTAATTTAGAGATTTTAAATGATAATTTAAGGATTTCATATGTTAGTAATTATATGAATTACTTTATGCCTTGTTTATTTATGTCAGCTTATAATTTACTGTGTTGCTCTTGATTTGTTTATTGATTTATTTATATATTACTGTCAGTGTTGAATGTTTGCCATTGTATGAGTGGCCCTGAGTCCCTTCGGGGAGATAGGGCAGGCTATAAATAAAGTTTCATTTCATTTCATTTAGAAGACAAGACACACAGAGAACTGAACTGAAAAGGCAATGATCAGATAACATGAAAGAATATTTCAGGAACAGGGAGCAAGTTAAATGGCCCTTAGGTCAGAAGCTTCCTTCATACCACATGTCCCTTGGTCAGCCTTATTAAACAAGCAAACCTTAGATGTTTTCTCATTTCTTTCCACCTTCAATTCTGCACAAATAGTTTGGTAATGCTAAAATCAAGATCGGTAGACTTATGTATCCTGATTGGTTTACCATTTTCTTGTCTGATTGAATAGATCAGAAACATACAATATTTTGTATGCAATAGAATCAGCATTTGGGAAAATCTAGTTAAACAATCCTATGCAAATTTTTACAGACCGCAATATTGAGAGAGGACCTTAGTATATTTCAACAGCATTCATTTACTAAAAGAAATTATGAATGTACAAATTTCCAAGTACCCCCAAAGCAGCAAATATCAAGCACTATAAAAAAAACCCCTATTATTCATAGTAATTGCGGCAAAAACCAGAAGGTGGCACTGCAAATGTTATATTGAAATCACCCATATATATGTATGTACGAGCGCACACAATTTTTCAGATTAAAGTAAATTAATTTAGTTGAGAGATGATAAGGTCCTTTCTAATATTATGACCTACATTAATTACATAGAAGTATTGAATTGGGTTTTCCTTCTGTGCTGATATTCATATATACAGAAAATTAAACTCCACACTTTTCTCTTAAACAGAAAGAGTACAACATCTATCTACACTGCCTCGCAAAACACTATTGTGAAATACAAATAGAATAAGGATGTATAAAGATCTGTTCAATGTGCCTGTGTTTTAAATTAACTCAAAAGGGTAACCCTCCTTGCTTTGGGGAGTTGGGGGGAAGAGTTCCAAACAGAACTATCCGTCACAAATCAACTGTCTTTCTTTTTCTCTTACAGGAACAGAATTTCAGCCTAGATTATATGACTATTGCTGCATCAATATCCTTTCTCTCCTATTTCTCATGGGACATGCAATTCTGGCATGTAAGCTATATTGATTTTCCCAGCTTCAACAGAGAGAAAACGCTGAAAAACAAAGTGAGTATTGCCTGAAGGAGATGAATAATATGCTTCATCATAAGATAGCTCATGATGAAAACAAGGGTCACTCTACTTTCAGATTTTGGTCAGAGACAAATTTTCAGCTCAGATCATTAAATGCCAATGAGGTATATAATGTTATATATACTTCTTGTCATATGTTACATATATGTATATGGCATTGAACTTTGGCATTAATATGTTGTAAACCACTTTGAGTCCCCCCTGGGATGAGAAAGGCGGTATATAAATATAGTAAAATAAATAAATAACGAAAAAACGGGCAATTAAACTATTGAAATTCCCTTTCTTCAAAAAGCATCATTAAGAAATATTTTGTTCTTAATTTTAATTATACAAATGAAAGCATTAAAATATTATTTATTCCTTAGTGTTTACTTAGATGCTTAGGATATAATATCTTACCTGCCGTCTTTTCAAATAATCAAGTGCAATTTGTACATTCTGTAGTCTGTGAAAACGCATCCGACCTTTCTCTCTGGGCTAAAAACAGAAAACGGAGATAGTGAGAGTTTATATACAAAAAGAAACGCTAAATAGAAAACCTTTTTGAGCTATGCACAGAATTTATTTAGAAATTGATTTTGGTAAAATCTAGTAACTCTGGGAGAAAAAAAAATACTCAAATTTAAATTTTACAGATGCTCCTCACCCCTAGGGTCCCCCCTCCCCTTTTATCTGTAATGAAATCAAATTTCAGATGCACTGGAAATGGGATGTGATTTCTCATAAGCTCCACAGAAATAAACCTTTATATCCATGATGTAGAATGCTAATGAGAGTTATTAAACCTTAGTAGGGAGCTATTTGGATGTCAAGCTGCAGAACATAATAAATGACTTATTTCCTTTACATAAATCATACCACACATAAATGTTGTGCATTTCGTGCAAATATACCCATTCTAAGTTATTAGTGAGCTGTACCACAACGCAACAAAGATATTTTGTATTATAGGGCTGCTGGGATCCAGTGTTGACACAGTAGATCAAAGAGCAGACAAATGTACTGGTTCAGAAGGGGCCATCCTAATAAGAACTGAATGTTCCTCTCTAGTTGTTCATTAGGGCAGTTATGGTAGACATATGGCTACAATGCAACTCCAAAACATACCTTGTAGAACAGGTTTTGTTTTTTTTTTAAAAAAAAAAAGCAGGTCCAAAGTGAACTATCTTTGGCTCATAAATTTCACTAGGAAAGTTAAGCAGGAATCAAATCGCTATAGAAGAAATCAATAGGACTCAACATTGTTTCATCCTGGCTGAGTCAGGACCTCAATTACAATTTTAAGCACAAATGATGATCTTGAGATGGATGTGTACAACTCACCCCCACTAACATTATTTGAGAAGATATTGGGATCAGTTAACCTCCATTAATGCACAAACTGCTTTTCACGAATGCTTCCCCACCCCCATCCTAAAACTGTTCGCCCTATTATTTAAAGGGATCTTAGGGCTTGTCTACCCCAGCCGGAAACCCTGATTTTGATCAGAGGTCAGTCCTAGATGTCCAAATGACATCCTGGGATTAAATGTGGAGGTGGTGGGGAGTGGGGTTAAAACGGTTAAAACGGTTAACCTGTGTTATTCACACCGCAATGAGTCGCCCTTGGGCTGAGAATTGCGGTATATAAGCGCAGTAAATAAAGTCAGGGAATGATAAGGAGTTTCATCGAAATTTTGGAGGAGTCCAAAAGCAGCCCCACATTCCAAGGTAAGTATGGACAGATGGACTATTCACTGCTGACATGAGCCAGCATCACCATTCCCTTTTTTTGCAGTGAGAAGCATAGGGAAAAGGAGGCAAACTGACCGGTGTTGCCCTCCTATTGTTGCAGATGGCCATGGAGGTCAATCCCCCCTCCTTCTCCTTAGTCATGGGGACTCCATGGCAGTCCAGCAACAACAACAGTGAGGACAAACCAATTTCAAACCCACTGGATGGTCTGGATTCCAGTGTAGGTGCCCCCAGAAGTGGTCTGGAGTACTGCTACTCTAGACCAGCCTCAAATAAAGGGGTACATGTAGACGGACATTCAATAAAAGAGTTCTATCATTCTTTGATGGTTTTATTAATTCAATTTACTGTGTTTGGGGCATTTTAATATGCATTACTGTAAACTCCATTGTGAAATTTCGAATTAAAAGCAGTATAGAAATGCTTAAATAAACAGGGCTACCTTCAGTTAAGGAAGCAGCTTGGCTGTGCAAGAGGCTTAAAAGGAAGTATATGCTGTTCCTAAAAAGCTTTCTTTTCAAGAAACATGCTAATTTTTCATTATCCTGAAAGGAATTCATGTTGTGTAGAGTCTAAGGGTCTTTTATGCAGAGATAAACCAATGTTTGCCAAGAAACAAATGTGAAACTGACCACACAAACCATTTCAATCAGACCTGGAAAGGCATATGGCTTTTCAAAAAAAATCTTTAATCGGGTACTGTAATCCCAAATCCTGTTAATTCATCTTTTCTGAAAAATGCATATAGGCGATCAATTCTGACTGAATTATATATGGGCAGGTCGATCAGAAAAGCATTCTGAATACATAATCAAGAAACAGCTTTGGAAGTTTATAAATCAGATCTCTATATACTGTTCCCTTATAGATTTTCAAGTATTAACCAACAACTGGCAATCTTTATTTTGTCAGAAATGCTTGCAGAACACAACATGCAGAAAACCAAGTAAGTGGATGAAAACAAAAAAAAAGTTATTCAGGAAAACAAATAATACTCAGCAAATTAATGAAAAACATGGCAAAACTGCATGCAGTTAGCGTAAAATCACAAAGAGGAAGAATTACATAGGCATCATTCATTTAGCCATCTAAGGAGATCTATAGGAGAAAACACACAAAATATGAATGCCCTTCTTCCAAACTTCAGATTTTTCACCAACTTCTGTAACAACAAGTAGAAGCATGATATATAGTACGATAATGGCTATAGCTCAGCAATGAATATTTCCTTGGAAAACCCTGTAAATTAAGTTTAAACAGTAAGAGCGTATTGGCTCATTCACTGCAAGAAACTTAAAGCTTTCTTTTTCTTCTTCCTTGTCTTCCCCTTTCTCTTTGTTGTGGCAAGAACTGGCTTTTTTTTCTTTCCTGCTGAGCACTAAAAGGACATCTTCAATGGCCCCAAACTCTTATGTAGACAAGATGACACTCCTAGGTGTCAAAATGACATCCAGGGCCTTCTGGTTCGTAACACAGTAAAACAGGTTAATCTGATTTTACCCCACATTATGCAAAATCAGCTAATTCTGAGTTTGAGCAACACACCAGAGCAGCCCTACACTTTGACCAAAGGGGAAGGATTAGGCCTATGATCCCCTCCTGTCACCACAGCAAATGGCCTAGAGAACTCCTGGCCACTGCCGACAATCTTTGTTGACATCAACCAAGGTATCCTTGCAACCAAGAAGAAGGAAAGGGGGTTGCCTTTCTGAATCTGGTAATAATCGGGACAACCAAGGTCAGGTGACTGTCCAGTTTAGGAAAATATGAGCAGTCCTACTGGAGAGTCAGGATTTCACTCCCCACCCCCCATCCCACCACGTGATGGGGATGGACAATATAGCTGTCTTCAGGTCCATGACAGAGTATACATACTCTAGACCGGCCTCAGATTATAGGGTACATATATATGCCCTGAGACAAGCTCCCTAGTATGAAAAGTCCAACCGAAGAAGCTGCCTTTTTCATGTTTTGTTCAGTAAGATAAGCATCCATCTATTTTTCTTCCAGTTAGGTTCTGGTCTATGCTTCTGGGTATTACAGAGCACTCCTTTAGAAAACAGTACAGTAAGAAAGGCAGGTTGCTTATCTGTAACTGATGTTCTTCAAGAGGACATCTGTGCATTCAGATGTGTGGGTCTGGGCCTGCAAAAAGACACTGTTCAGAATCTTAGCTAGCAAGAAGATTCTGAACAATGTATTTGCACAGATGCAGACCCATATATGTGACGAACTGAGGACATGATTAAGAAAGAGAGGGATTGGAGAGGTATATATACACAGAGAGAGATGACGTAACTAAGAAAAATAACCTCCCGGCAGCCTATATGCTAGCTGATCATCACCACTTCGTATCTATACTCATACTGTTGATGGATACAAACTTGGTTGTGGTTCCACAGTTGCCCAAGACCTGTGGCATGTTTCAGAAGACTCCAGGCAAAATATCTGGTGGAGTCTTTTGGGGTTTACATGCATGTGAATGATAGCAACTACACTCCAAATAGTACCTAAGGAGCTGGGAACAGCTCTCATTCCACTTTTACACAATGCTCAAAAGTGATGTTACAATTATAATGGCAAAGCTAAATTTCTAATCATGTTAATAAACCTGAAAAAGTGGATAGTATAGAGGAGTTTGGTGCTTCTTTTAGGTTCTCCTGGAAAGGACTGAGTTCTCTAAGGGGGTGGTTCCTTTTTCGATAAGAGCTAAGGTACAGGGAAAGCACATATCAAATAAGAAGTCTTACTTTAAAAGATGTCAAAGAACAAGCAGTTCCAGCAGTGGAACTCTCTGCCCTGGACTGTGGTGGAGACTCCTTCTTTGGAGGCTTTTAAACAGAGGCTGGTTGGCCATCTGTTGGGTGTGCTTTGAATGTGATTTTCCTGCTTCTTGGCAGGAAAATCACATTCCTGCCAATGACGTCTCTTCCAACTCTATGATTATATGCTTTACTGGGGTATGATTACATTAAAATTAAGGCCAGCAACCAACACTTGACTAACTATTCTTTATATCAGGTTAAGGGGAAATAGTCTTTTTCACTTATGAAAGAATTTCAATCTACCATGTAGTAATATGAGTGGAAGCCTGAAGATGGCTCTAGTTAATTTTTTTAAGAAGTTCGCAGGCCTGTAGGGGAATTTTACGTTTTACATGCTATAATGAGTCTTCTTTTTGGTTTAAAGCTGGATCTGCAATGGTTTCGGGTGAGATGGTTATTTGTTCATGTGCTTTACTTTCGTATGGCATTGAATGATTGCTGACTTTGTTGTTCACCACGCTGAGCCCCTTTGGGGAGACAGGACAGCATATAAATCAAGTTTATTTATTTTATTTCTTAATCCATGGAAGGTATCTCCTGCTAGCAGAAACAAAGTCCAGTAAACCACTAAGCCTAGTTCCTTTAGCACTATTTATGCCCTATAGCTTAGGGCAATAGACCTGAAGAAGTGACTCTGATAAAGGCAACGTCCTTCAAAAATTAATCCTGAGCAATTGCTTTAAGGAGTACCCTATATTCTCATAGCTAAGTCTAGAAAATCAAAAAGGTCAACCTAAAAAATCTAGTTTGACTTACCTACTGGCTGATTTGATTGTTATACCTTTATTCTTACCAAAAATAGAACTATCCCGTTCCCTGAGTAGTGCAGTGAAAGGCAGGAACGTAGTCTGTGCTGAGAGAATCCAAAGCAGTGGTTCTCAACCTGTGGGTCCCCAGGTGTTTTGGCTACAACTCCCAGAAATCCCAGCCAGTTTACCAGCTGTTAGGATTTTTGGGAGCTGAAGACCAAAACATCTGGGGACCCACAGGTTGAGAAGCACTGATCTAAAGGAAGAACTGACCTTTCCAATCTCTTTGTTGTGGCACCACTTCTGGCCTTTTAGAATATTGAGATGGGGAGAAGTTGGTGGCGATGGTCATGGGCATTGTTGTTCTCTGACTTTCTACTTATCCATGGGTCATATTTCAAAATCCATAATTATGATCCCCAAACCTGCTCTCAGTTTTTATATGAAGATTTATACACGAAGACGCCCAAATGTGGCTTTTGATGAATTGATAGCTAATGTAGAAGCCAATAAGACAATTCTATGCATGTTAACTCAAAAGTAAGCTTCAATTTATTCAATGGAATTTGCTGCCAGAGAAGCAGATCAGCATATACAGCCTTAATAACAGGCAAACACTCATAAATGGAAATAAATGAAGAAATAATTGCCTGGAATGTACTATGTGCAGAAGGCATGACTAATAATAATAATAATATAATGATCATTACCAAGTATCCTTATAAAGTCAGAACACAAAAAAAACCACATTTCATATAGAAAGCCAAATATGTTTTGAAAGGTTTTCTGAGCCATAATAAAATATATAGGGGTTTCAAAAACAGAAGATGGACAATGTTTATCTTTGCTACCGAGAACACAAGTAATCTCAAAAGATCTTTTAGCATACAGTAGGAGAAAAAAATGTAAATGCCAGTTTCTTAGAGTAATGAAACAAACTGTTTAGGACAAATCAATACTCAGTATCGCGCCAAAATCTTTGTTTATAGGCAGATATTTTCCATCTGGAAGACAAAAGGGCATTATTTAAAATGCTATCTCAGTATTACCTGTTATAAAAATTGATCTCACAAAAAAGGAAGGAATTGATTAGCTGGTACATGACTCAGATCTCTATAATCTATCTACTGGGCAAACATTACTATACTTTCAGCCAGTGAGTTACGCACTGAATCCCATGGCAACATTTTTCCACTTCTGACTCTCAATATCCTTGCTTTCCTCTGTTTAAAACTGTTGTCTTTTCAACTATGTAGAAATCATGCTGTGGGGAATTTTATTATTTCTGCTTAAAGGGGTTGTGTTTGCATATGACATGACACAACCACAACGCCATGTTCAAATTAAGACCACACAGATAGAAATTTTATTGTGGCACCATTATTGTTAGGAGGATTATTTGTACAGTTGTGGCACCAGAACAAAACAAAACATAAAAGTGAAATAATTTAACATTGCAGCAGTTCAAAATGAATTTTTAAAGGACAATCCATCAGTCATGGAGGGCAGCTGTATGAATGGCTTTCCACACCTTTCCATACATTTCAGAGGGTCTTGATAGATTCCCTAAAGTCACAGGTACACACTCACACATATACACAAAGAAAACAAATACACAAAAATGCCCAATCCTTTCTAAAGAACCACTGCACAGCACCACACTACAGAGTTACTTTCAGGTTAGCAGCAGCACTCTTCAAATACTATAGTAGTAGAGTTATGGGGGTCGGCACCTACCCCCTTATCCTCATCCTCCTCATCCTCATGCTGTTCAAACGGGCATGCTTCTGTTGAACTCACCAACCGTAAGGTCTTCAAAAAATCTCGCTCCCTTGGCTAATGAACACAACAGACAGGAGACAGGAGAGCAAAGACACAAGACAGACCACAAATGAAGAGAAAAATATGAACAGAAGAACATAATGAAGAGAACAAGTGCTAAGAAAGGGTAGTAGTAATGCTCACAACAACAAAAAAAGATGACACCAAGAGGGAGCGTTAGACAATTAAGGTGAGAGCATGTGTGTTTTTCCCCTTTCTTTAACGGGGAAAAATATTTAGCATTCTAATTTCTATACAAGATTTTTTTAAAGTAATAATGGCAAAAACAAATGCACTACAGAAACAGAATTTATAATTATACAGGGGAAACAACAAATAATATGGTCAAACCAGTCAGAATCCAGAATATTATGTAATTTTGAAACTAAGCTTATTTTTTGTGTTTCCCCAGCTATAGAACTAATGAATTAAGAGAAGCCCAATAATCAATAACAAGCAAATATTCTGAAGCCCAGAAGGCTTCTGAACGAAAATTTAAAAACTCACCAAGGTATCTCCTGAAAGAACTTCTAAAAGAGAAATCAAGTTATGTCCATCTCTCAGGTCTTCGTACAAATCATTCACATGCTTGCGAACCTATGAAGAAAATGAGATACAAGGTCAAGAAGATGCACTAAGTTCATTGGGGCCCATGCACAAAAAACTACCTGTTAAATGGCAGCAGTAGATGAATGAATCAAGTTGCTCTGAGTTCACGTCACAGTGTTAACAACAATACAACAAATTGTCCCTGAACTTGATACAGGCAACATTGAATACTATGATCAAAACAAAATTGTCTTCATATAATCGAACCAAGACAACCATTTTTTTCCCAACAGACATATTTACAATGGTTTCTCAAAATATGAGATTATTTTTCAAATATTAATTTGGAAAATTATGGTATCTTTAGCTTAGAGCTGAGATTTCACTGAATTAATCAAGAACTAAAATCATGATGATCTGTAGAAGAATTGTTGTTTTTTATTCATTCAGTCACTTCCGACTCTTTGTGACCTCATGGACCAGCCCACGCCAGAGCTCCCTGTCAGCCGTCGCCACCCCCAATTCCTTCAAAGTCAAGCCAGTTACTTCAAGGATATGATCCATCCATTCATCCAACACCAACTGCTGCTCTGAGACCAGAGTAAAGAGAGGGGCCAAGAAGACAGTGCCATCTTGTCTTCAGTGTCATTACTTGGGAGCCCCTCCGCCACACCAACTGCTACTCTGGGACCAGAGTAAAGAGACGGGTCCAGGAAGATATTTTATTTGTTTTATTTATTGTATTGTATATTACTTGTAAGCCACTCTGAGTCCCCTTCGGGGTGAGAAGGGCGGCATATAAATGTCATTAATCAGTCATTCAATCTTGCCCTTGATCAGCCCCTCTTCCTTTTTCCTTCCATTTTTCCCAGCATCATTATCTTCTCGAAGCTTTCCTGTCTTCTCATTATGTGGCCAAAGTACTTCATCTTTGCCTCTAATCTCCTTCCCTCAAGTGAGCAGCCTCCAACACCACAGTTCAAAAACGACTCTCTTCCTTCGCTCAGCCTTCCTTATGGTCCTGCTCTCACATCCATACAGGGAATACCATTGCTTTGACTATGAGGATCTTTGTTGCCAGTGTAATGTCTCTACTCTTCACTATTGTATTGAGATTGGTTCTTGCTCTCCTCCCAAGGAGGAGAGCAATAACGTCTACTGATTTCCTGGCTGCAGTCTGCCTTTGTAGAAGAGTATCTGACTTAAACCAATATTATATTAGGAATACCATCAATTGTTCCCTTCCCTTACTGACTTCATTACTGTCTGGGTGGGGTGCAGGGTGGAGGCTAAGGCAATTTTACATGAATTATAGATATGGTTAAAAGTCTAAATCCCAATTAGTCGTCAATGAATGGAATAGAAGAGGGATGGATTTCCTACTATCTATGCAGACATCTCTTTTTCCCAAAAGGTTATGGCGCATTCTGGGGCAGATTTTCTGGAGCACAAAAAATAGCAGGGAAAGGTGGAATCGATAAAAGTTTTCACTTCATGCTGCCTTTTACCAATAAGAGCATTTATTAGAAGAACTCTGTTAAGGGCATATTAATAATCCTTATCTGTTTCTTCAAAAGTGCAGGAAAAAGTATATTGATTTTGTCAATCTAATATTGGTTTTAGACTATAATGTAATATTGATTTCAGAATTCTAGAAATACTTTGTATAATAGTTATTCTTGTCAATATCTCCTGTCTTTCAGGTATGAACCATGCCTTTAAAATATGTCCTTGTAGCTATTCCATGTAGGCCTAAATATCTTAGGGTCACCAAATCCTATCTCATTCTGGAAGTTAAACTTGGATGACGGAGCCCCCGGTGGCGCAGTGGGTTGAAGCCCTGTGCCGGCAGGACTGAAGACCAACAGGTCACAGGTTCGAATCTGGGGAGAGGCGGATGAGCTCCCTCTATCAGCTCCAGCTCCTCATGCGGGGACATGAGAGAAACCTTCCACAAGGATGATAAAAACATCAAATCCTCCAGGTGTCCCCTGGGCAACGTCCTTGCAGACGGCCAATTCTCTCACACCAGGAGTCACTCTTGACACAACAACAACAACAAAAAACTTGGATAAGAGACCACCAATGAACATCACGAGCTGTAGGGCTATATTTCAGAGAAAGAAACCGGCAAACCATCTCTGTATATTCCATGCCTATGAAAATCCTATGAAATTCATGAGTAACTTGAAGGAACATACAGAGAGTAAGAGACGTTCACTTCCAATATCTTTAAAATAACATATAACAGTGATTAAATCGTAGTATACTTGTTATCACTAACACATCATATTGAAGGACAGTATTGATCTCATGAGCGAAATGATTTTTTTTCACGTCAGGAGCAACTTGAGAAACTGCAAGTCACTTCTGGTGTGAGGGAATTAGCTGTCTGCAACGACGTTGCCCAGGGGACACCGGGATTTTTTACCATCCTGTGGGAGGCTTCTCTCATGTCCCCACATGAGAAGTGAAATTATGAGTTTGCTTTGATTCCAAACATGTAGCTGATGCCTGGGGTCAATAATTTTAGAACATAATAAATGTAAAAATAAGTATTTAACAAGTGGAATGGAGAAGTAGATTTCAAAAAACACTGGGGTGGAGGGGGTGGTGGTTATGAATTACTCTGACCAAGAGGTCATGAGTTCGAAGCCAGCCCGGACTGGAGTGGGTGTCCAGCCATTGTGTAGCCCGTTGTCGACCTTTGCAACCCGAAAGACAGTTGCATCTGTCAAGTAGGAAAATAAGGTACCACCTTGTGTGGGAGGCTAAATTTAACTAATTTATGAGGCCATAAAGAAAAAAGACTCCGGGGAATGTGGAATGCGGAAGAACTTCATCGGTGTCGTTGATGGACGATGAAAAGCAGCAGCTCCCCTGGCGGCCAGAAAAAAAAAAGAGTTAAATAGCCTCGGTGTATTTGTCTGTTAAATGTTGTTTGTCAAACTGGCATTGAATGTTTGCCATATATGTGTTTACTGTAATCTGCCCTGAGTCCCCTGCAGGGTGAGAAGGGCGAAATATAAGAACTGTAAATAAATAAATAAATTAGCCAGCTCCTACTCTGGGGGGCCGGGATTGCCTAGAAGTTTATCTTGGCTCAGGCTGGTACCGGCTATTCACCTTCCTAATCTATACGAAATAGACAACTGAAGTAATGAGGAGGTTATTTCACCAGCATGCTGATGGCACCCAGGTCTTTGCTCATTTTATTATGTTTCTAGGAAGGCAGTAAGGAATGTAAGACATGGTTGTAGCTATACAGAATACAATTTATAAATTGGATAAGATGCAGTAGTGATGGACCAGAGAATGTATGGAACTGGAGTAAGAAGTAAAGCAGATCTTCAATTCAAACATTGTGAATTGTGTTTGAAACCACTTTATTATACATCAACAAGCTGAATTTTTCTACTTCAACATATCTGAGGATTGTGATAACATAAATTAATATGACAACCCTTTGGCAATTTGAATCTTATTGAATAATTATTACCCCTGATAATAGCCTAATGAATATGCAATGCCTACCCACCCAAACAGAATGCCTACCTATCTGAATGGTTTCCTACAAAACAACCCTATTTTTCAGATAATTACACTGTATATATTCAAGGATTATCAAGTATAGTTAGAATGTTTGGGCTAATTGCCTTAATAGACTTCAGAGTTGTTTGATGTTGGAGCTGTTTGTACATTTAGAGAACTGACAGAAAGGGGTGGGGAAACCGGTGTTAAGAGTCCTAGCTTTATTCTCTCTACTCTCTTTCAGAGCTTCATTGCCTCAAGGTGTGTCTGTTAGCTGTGAAATTAACAGACTTCAAAGGATGCTATGTGCCAGCATGGAGGAGGAGGAGGGAGGAGGTATCTTAGGAACAGAAGAGAGTTGCTGAAAACCAAGAATTCAAGGGCAGAAAAACAAGGATGTACATCACTGCTGAGTAACCTTGGCCTGCTTTCAAAAGTCCTCTCTCTGCAATCAACTCAGATCTCTTGTAAGAGCAATCTCTCCTTCCTTCATCAGACAACTGGATGGTAATGAAAAAGAAGTCAGTGGTAGTAAAAAAAATCAGTGGCAGAGAAATGAAAGAAACATCTGCATCTACATTGGATTCTAGCCTCACCTGCCATGAATCTCAGACTTGCCCACTGGTGATGGGCAATAACAACAACAACAACAACAACAACAACAACGTTGCTCAGATGATTTATTGGAACTTGTGCCACAAATACCATCTGCCTGCAACAAAAAACTGGTGGGATCACGAGCTGGAAAAAGTTACAGAAAATGAGCATGTCAAACTACTCTGGGACTTCCGAATTCAGACAGACAGAGTTTTGAAGCACAATACTCATGATCTCACGATTGTGTTAAAAAAACCAAGTATGGATTGTGAATCTTGCCATCCCAGGATTGAAGAGAAACAACTGGAAAAGCTGACACGATATGTGGATTTAAAGATCGAACTTCTAAGACTCTGGTACAAGCCAGTCAAGGTGGTCCCAGTGGTGATCGGCACACTGGGTGCAGTGCCTAAAGACCTTGGCCTGCACTTAAACACAATCGGCACTGACAAAATTACCATCTGCCAGCTGCAGAATTATTCGCCAATACATCACATAGTCCTAGAGATTTGGGAAGTGTCCAACATGTGATCCAATACAACAGCCAGCAGAATGATCTTGTCTGCTGTGGACTCATCTTCTTGTGTCTCAAATAATAATAATAATACTTTATTTATATTCCACTCTGTCTCCCCAGGGGGACTCAGGGCAGATTCCAATAAACAAAAAGACAGACATTTAATGCCTCAGTAAAACAAACAAGTACCGACATAATAATCCCGAATAAACTCACATATGAAAACATTAGAACCTAACATCAATAAATTAAACTAAACATAATCAAACAAAAATTATATAATGACATAAAATCTGAACTTAAAACATCCACAACAGATTTACAGAGGCCAACTAAACTTCACAAAGTTATATGGATCGATTGTGTGGCCAGTGATGGTAGCTAGGCTAACATAGAATGACGG